TAATTTACTGTTTGTATCAAGATGTATTCCAGCGTTTGTTCCAAATAAATATTTGGAATAGATAAGTTATTAAGGAAATTAATATGGGAAAGAAGACCATCTAAGATTTCATTAGCTAAATTGAGATTATCTATTGAGGATGGTGGTTTTAATTTACCAGATGTCCAAAAATATCATTGGCTTTATATTTTATCAATTACATCTATATGGAATGTTTGTGGGCTCTGCTGGAAAGTTTGTATATATTTCCATTAAGGGCCTGGCAATTGCTAGGATTGATATACAGTAGACAGGGTATTCCCTTCCCAGATTAGGAGCAGCCAGACATGTTTGGGTCTTGTCGAGTCATAGATTGGGTGGGTTTTGATGCTAAAGCTCATAAATATTTAATTTTATGGAAAAAGTACTCTAAACGTAAAGGGCAAAATGTCCTATTGAAATTTGTGGGCAGAATCTGGAATAAATATTTAAAGTCAAATTGTTACTTTGTAACAATTACTTTGAAGATTTTTCTAGACTTCAGGCAGAATTTTGTCTCTGTAATTCACAACAGTGGAATCGACTCAAGCATGTTTTAACATCTCAGTACGGACCAGATACTTTGGCCGTGTCTGAAAAACCTGAAGTGTACACTTGAGGGAATCAGTGTTTGAATGTTTGAAATTATACCCACATATGTATCAAAAACTAAATAACATTTTTAAAGTTGACACTAAGGACATTTATGGTTCATGGATTAAAGAACTGGAACACCCAGTAATGGAACAGCAATGGTTGCACATCTTTAAAAATGTCAAGTTGCTTCAGTGGATTTAAAATTATCGTATATATTCACAGATAAGCCCATCTGCAGATAAGCCAAACCGGATATTTGGGTGTATTTGGGTGCCGAAAATTCTCAGATTATTCATGAGTATGTATGATAAAACTGATTCATCAAAATATCTTATTTCAAGTTTACTGGCCATCCCAAATAACATATTTGAAAGGATGTCAGATTTTCTCTGTTGGCAATCTAAAAAATTTGAAGGGTCATTGACTCATATGATTTGGTCTTGTGAATCACTGACATCCTTTTGGAATTATATTTTAATGTACATAGATTTATGGGGAATTGTTTTAGTGATAAAGTTATTAATGTCATGTAAATTATGTCCCAAATCTTAGAATTTTACTATTTTTGAGGCATTATGTTGCATCGGGCCTGGGGTGTTGCTAAGAGGATTATTTTGAGAAATTGGAAAAGTAATCATATTCCTGATGTTAAGGGTTCAAGTGATATGTGACTTACCTGTTTTTAAAAAGGCAATTTTATCTACTAATAAAGAATGATTTGACATATTTTTCTGTGGCATAGATTTTATGATATTTTGTAGTGTTAGACAATAATTAATTATTATTATTTTCCTAAGGTAGATTTAGAAATCTTTTTGGCATCTGATTAATATGTGCCATATATTGATAATTTCCCCCTTTGCTCTCTTTTGTTTATTTTTGTAGTTTTTCATGTATATCTTTTCTGCTTTTTTAAACATATTGTAATTTTTAATCCTTTCTGTAAAACTTAAGAAATAAATAATTTAATTTTTAAAACTTAGATTTGGGCAGAACAGTCTTAAAGTGGTTCTGCTCATATCTAGATGGCCATCATCAGAAGATTATGCTGGGAGATCTCTGCTTGACTTCATGGTGTTTATGCAATGGGGTCCCGCAAGGTTCCATTTTATTCCCTATGCTGTTCAGCATCTACATGAAACAGCTGAGTGAGATCGTTCAGAGTTAAAGTTTCTTTATTAATGCAGTCAAAGACCAAAAATATACAAAGACAAAACTGATAAAATTGGTAGAAACTATGAGCTACCATAAAAATATTAACAATAAACAGTCCAGTTTCCATGTGGATTTTATAGGCAATTTAACAGTATTTAGAGACTTTTAATGACATGTCATTTGACATCATCCTTATCTGACAGTAGATACTGGGAATAGAATAAATCTGAAAGCCCCAGAAACATAACTATTATGGGGATATATATCATGAACGGATGTTCTTATAAAAAATAAAATGTAAGTAGAAATAAGCTATGGTTTCCATTGGGCCCACCTAGTATGGACAAAGCCAGTTTTCATATGGAATTTTCCTATATCTGCCTTCTATAAATAAGACACTGAAATCTAACAACATAGTTCTCTTATATTTGAACTTCCAATTTGATTTAAATATCCAGCTGCACTGAAATTAATAGTCTGACTACCAAGATAAATCTCTGTTGGCAGATAAGTTTATAGTTCTTGCCTCTCTATACCTATACTCTCTGTCTTCGTTCTAACTTGGCCTAATCATGCCCATATCTAATACAGCTTCTTGTGTATATAGATATAGGTTTGGTTTTTGCATAATAGAACCACTTCACTTCAATTATCTGCTAAAACTAAGGAAGCCAAATCAGTAGGAAAAAGGGATAATTTAAACTAATAATTTAAAATGTTGATCCACACTGCAGTTTCTACTCTGATTACACAGGATTCTTGAAGGAGAACCACATTTAGGACATACCAAGGTATTTTGATTGCAAGGACTCCAGAACTGTAATATTATTAAGGAGCCCTGACTGAGCTCCATAAAGCAGCTGAATTTGTGCTTTGCCTATAAATAATTCAGTTGCTACTAGTATATATTCATCTTTGGATCAATGAGAGGCTTGAAAGGCCAGAACTGACTTCTGACCACCCAATAATACAGAATATGAATGTGTCCTCTGACTGCCAGAGCATGAAAGACTATACCCAGAAGTTGGAATATTTTGACCCAATCTAGTTCATGCCCCAAAATATAAAATGATTGATGATGTAGTATCAGATGATGGGACCATTCAGGTCAGATGGCACTTAACATGCTACTGAGGAAGAGCTGAGGATCTTTCGGAGTATCAATGGTGTTTATAATATGGCTAGATTAAAGCCTTTGGGATGTCTCTTTGCTGATATTGCCATGCAGGAAAAGAAGCTGCAAAGACAGAATTACGGTAAGAATATGGAATGTAAAAAGCATGAATATGGGAAAGCTCAACACAGTCAAAAATAAAATAAACTGACTACACATTGACATCTTAGGCATCAGCAAACTGAAATGGACTGAAATTGGACACTTTCAGTCAGAAGATCACACTGTTTACTACTCAGGGCATGAAAAACAAAGAAGGAATGACATTTCCTTCATAATAAGAAAGGTTTAGTAAGAACAGTACTTGGCTACAGTGCAATCAATGATCAAATAATATCAATTAGGTTTTGTGGACAACCCTTTAATACTGTACAACAATTATCAAATTTACATTCCAACCACTGATGCAGAAGAAGAGGAGATTTATAATTTTAGGGTCAAATTCCATTTGAAATCAACAGAACATGCAAGCAAGATGCGCTGCTTGTGGTTGGAGACTGGAATACCAATACTGGAAATATCAAGGAGGAAAATGTAGTTGGACGACATGGCTTAGAAAACCAAAATGAAGCAGGAGAACAGCTTATCAGTTTCTGCCAATACAATGACTTCTTTAATGCTAATACACTCTTCAAACAACCAGCACAGTGCCTATATATATCACCAGATGGTGTACACAAAAATCCAGTTGACTTCATTATTGGTACAAGGAGATGGAAGTGCTCAGTCATAACAGCAAGACATGGCCAGGGGTTGACTGACAGATCACAGATTGCTCATGTGCAAGTTCCAAGTTAAGCTAAAGAAGAAGAAAGCCAACCAGTTTCCACAATATAACCTTGAGCATATACCCACCACTTTCAGGGAATCTTCCTGAATGTCTCTGATAGAGAACCAGAGAAATAATGGAATGAGCTTAAAGAAGCTGTTAAGGATGAATGTGAAACGAAACTGGCAAAGATCAATAAACAGAAAAAAGCAAACTGGATGTCAGAAGAAACCATGGAAATTGCCAAGAAGAGAAGAGAAGCCAAAGCCAAGAAAGAGAAAGAGAAAGATCTCAGGAAGGAACTTAATAAAGAATTTCAGAGAGCTATTAGAAGAGACAAGAAGCAGTATTACAATGATGGAAGATGGAAACAAACTTGGAAAACAAGGAAAGTCTTCCACAAGACCTCTGAACTCAGAAGGAGGTTCCAACCTCAAATTAATATGTTAAAAGATGCCAATGGACAGATAGTAACTAATTCAAAGAAGTCAAAGGTGGAAGGAGTATACCGAAACACTGTACAGTAGAAATGTCAGCATCTAAGATATGTAGAAGATATTCCCTACTTAGAAGAATCTCTAGTACTAGAAGATGAAGTTAGCAACGCTCTGATTATTACCAAGTCAGAAAGCTACAGGAATTGATGGAATATTTGCACAAACTATGGCAAGCAACAGAAGAAGAACCAGTAAAGTAATCAAGTAACCAAGCTATGCTGGCAAATCTGGAGAATGACACAGTAGCCAACAGATTGAAAGAGGCCAATCCACACACCAATACCAAAGAAAGGAGACTTAACATAGTGTGCAAACCATCAAACAATATCCTTAATTTCATATGCTAGCAAAATAATGCTCATGATTATCCAACACACATTTACAGACACACACACATGGAAGCTGGTTTGAAGGGATGAATGTGGTTTTAAATTGGAGGAAGAAACATCAGTAATCTGTGCTATGCTGATGACACTACTCTGATAGCCAAAAATGCAAAGGATCTACAAGCTCTAGTAATAAAAGTCAAGGAATGCAGTGAAAAAAAATGAAACTAAAATTATGAAGAAGACCTAGCTAATGATAACAGGTACTATAGCTAGCCTTAGAATTGACAGTTAAGATATCTAAGCAGTAGGTAGTTTCTGCCTTTTAGAATCAACCATCAATAGTAAAGAAACAAGCAAACAAGAAATACACTGCAGACTAGCACTTGGTAGAGTAGCCCTGAAGGCCTTGGAAAAGATATTCAGATGCTGCAGTGTGTCTATACTTACAAAGATCAGAATGGATAGCCAAGAAAACAAACAAATGGATCATTGAACAAAACTCTGAATTCTCACTCAAGGCACAAATGATCAAGCTTAAGTTACTATACTTTGGAAACATGTGAAGACCTAGCTCTCTGGAGAAGTCATAATGCTGGGAAAGGTGGAAGGAAAGAGAAGAAAAGGATGATCAGCAGCAGTGTGGGTGGATTTAATTACAATGGTAATGGGCACACCATTGGAAGACTTGAAGGACCAGGTTGGGGACAGATCCTCCTGGAGAAAATCTATGTGATTGGTAAGAGTTGACACTGACCGGATGGGACATAATCAATAAAAGAATCAGTTCATGCCCTTTCATCTTCCAGAGATCTATTTTAGGATGCTTTACAAGATAGAATATTTTGGTCTTATCATTGTTTATTTTTAAAATTTTCCTCTTTGCCAAACATGGCACAGGAGCATAAAGTTCCTTTCAAACCCACTTGAATCTGCAACAGTATAACCACATAATCAGCATACTGAAATGCTGGGATGTGTTTTTATGTTATCTTTGGAAGATGGTATTCAGAGATTTAAACTAAAATGTCATCAGTCTGCTGCTGATGATAGTGAGCTCTCTCTGTTTGACTGAAACCACGTGAGGGAGTGGAACTGCTGAATTAATGTCTGGTTGCAATGGACTGGATTAGAGCCAAAAAAATGATGCAAAAGAATGGTCCTATTAGTGAATGGTTTATCTGTCAAGAAAAATGGAGTTCTATCTATTCTAGAGCTGCACTCCCCCTAAAATATTTGTTGCTAGGGGGTGCCTCTAAATCCAACTCTGATGTTCAAGGCACCAGTGGTCTCTGTGTGTGAAGAACCTTTCACCAGCTGAGGCAAGATATCTTGCTACAGAATCCCTGCCCTGGTACCTTCCCATTTAGATAAATGCAACACATTACATGCAAGGCTGCTCCTGAAGGCAATTCAGAAACTATATATAATACAAAACGCTACAGCAAGAATACTGGCTGGAATTAAACCGTATGAACACATCATACCAGTTCTTTATGAACTTCATTGGCTCCCAGTTCATTTTTCATCCCTATCAAGGAACTCCCGTCCTCCAGGTTGAGAAGTAACACTTCTTGTTATTCAGCTACTACAGTGCCTGTACATATTCTGTAATATTTTCTTTCCTCATTTCAGTAAAATAATGACCACACTATTCAAATATGGCCAGCTTTATTAAAGCCAAGTCTATTTTGCAAGTGAAGTATAGTATATGCTGTTAACACAATATCTTTCCAGCAAAATCCACAACGAGATGTTGTAAAGGTGTACTTGATCTGGATTCCATGTTTCTGACACTTCAGTTCAAAGTTTACCTCTTGGTAGGAGATGGCTCCTGTGGTCTTACCCAGCATCCAGGTGCTATAAACAGAAACACAATATTATTTGTTGTACTATGTGTAAAGTGACGAGCTAACTTTTATTTCACTAATGAATGAACCAAAGTGAAACCAGTCTATTAAAATTGTGCCCCCCTCCACCAAATACAGAGTAGGATAACTGATATGCATTATTTACTTCTTATTCTCATACTGCACAGAAAGAGGACAATGGAAATAATTATGGGGCCCTATGTTTTCCCCATTCAGTTTAAGAAGTAGAAATAAAGTTAGCTGAAACTTTTATTCCATGTCCTTTCTTCACCTGGGTAGATGTCAAACAAGATTTAAGGCAAAATCAGCAAACTAATCCTATAGAAAGCATGAGCTGACAGGACTGCCTGGAATTACAGTCTCTTCCACTTTTTATTCAATCATCTGAGATCTGACACCGGCCTTGGTGTCATCCTCCAAAAGCCTTTCTCAGATGAAGCTGGGTAGGAAGGGAACAGGTACTAAACCCTGGAAAAGTCTGGAAAAGGCAATTGTCTGGTGTTAATCCTGGTGTTGATCTCTGCTTACCTGGGTGTTGATTGTTGGTGAGGTGTTCTGGTCTTTTTATTTCCTTTTTATTTCTTTTGAATCGTATGTAGATGTTGTTTATCTCTCTGTGCCTGTTGATAGCTGACTTGTCTGAAACCAAGCTTTCAGGAATTCCCTCGCA